AGAGGATTAAAAGTGAGGGTAGAGTCTGGCCTATCAATCAAGTCATAGCCAGTGATGCCTCTGTGTGGGCATGGCCTTCTCCTGGGGATTCTGGGAACTCCTGTCTTCCTCCTTGGAGGCTGGAGGCACTCTTTCTTTTGGTTCACTCCCTGGTAGACATTACCCCTGACAAGGCACATGGTGCTATGGTAGTGCCCTGAGTTGAAGGAACCATGTGGAGACCCCTGCCAGCATTTACACCACCACTGGGCCCACAAGACTTCCCACCCGCAGGCCTGTGATCTTCCTGCATTCGGTGTCACTGCAGGTGTTTCATGAGTCTGAAGAAGACTTTATAGATTGGTATCTGACTTAAGGGCTAATATCGGACGTGTGGACTTGATCTAGACTGGGCTGGGATGTTTTCTTAATGTACAATTACTCTTTACATAAAGCTCTTTCTTATATACATGAGTGTCCATGAATTGGTTTCTCTGGTCTACCTGGACTAACACAGGGCAGGAAGGAGGCTGACTTGCGGAGTGGGGTGCCCTTTGGGCATTTATCAGCACTAAAGGAGCATGGTAACACTTGCCTGAGCAGGACAGAAGCCAAGTGGCCACATGACTGAGGGCTGAGGACCAGAGAGGCACGTGACTTTTGGCATGTCTGAGAAGAGGTGTTGCTGTGGACAAAAGTCTGGTGTCCTTTAGGTTTTCTGCTCCTGACTGGTGATAGCCTGTTAACTTCCCTAATAAACCCCCCAAGTCATGAGTACCCATCTATGAGTTCTGTGTGATTGTTGCAACAGGTCATTGGACCCAACAGAGAAGTCGAATGTTGTGGGAAGGGTGGTTGGTGAAAGTTTTCAGGTAAAGGAAGTTAGAGGCTGGAGACCTGTCTGACCTCTGCCTAGTGGCGATCAGTCTTACGGTGGTGTTGGATTCTCCTTCCCCTTATATAACCAACCACCAGGGTCAGATGGGCCCCACACCATTTCTTCACTAGTGCTTTGGACATGATAGACACTTAGTAAATATTTTGGTTGTAACTAGTGTTATTTAGAATCATAAGCTTATTAAAAAGGTAATGACTTTATGAAATATTTGGAATTCCGGAATCTGTTATATATATTGTCCATGACAGATTCTCATACTCAGTCTCTGTTTTAGCAATCCCAGGAACAAGTAGATCACTTCTCCATCAAAGAGAATATTCCCCAGACCAGCAGGGGTGAAATTCAAGCCCAACATACCAAGGGCATTCAGATGCCTTACAGGTTAAAATGTGTAAGTGGAGAGGATTTATTTTAACATTGGTTCCACAGTCAGAAGCAGATCCAAACAAACAAAAGGAATGTTTAATTTTTTAAAACAAATGAAGCAGATGCTCATGAGATTATTGGACAGTGACCCCATTCTCTGTTCAAAGATAACAGGGTTATTTAGATCGGGGGTGGGGGGGTGGGGGTGGGTTGATCTAGACTGCTGTTAGCTAATATGTATCAACAGTAAAATGCTTTTACTGTAAAATGTTTTTTTCTAAATATCTGTAGCATCCTAAAGTCTGGTGAAACTTCTACTCTGTTCCCATAGTAAAGAGACAAAGCGTACTAGTAAGGGAGAAGGAGCCCTGGTGGCACTATAGGGTGGGCCTTGGGCTACTGGCCACCAGGTTAGCAGTTCAAACCCACCCACTGCTGCTCCACAGGAAAAAGATAAAGCCGTCTGCTCCCGTAAGGATGTACAGGGTCAGAAACCATAGGGGGAGCAGTTACACTCTGTCTGATAGGGTCACTGTGAGCCAGCCAGGACTCAGTGGCAGCGGGTTGAACATTGCTTGTTGGGCAGTCTCTAGCAGAGGAGACTGCTTCTGATGTAAGGTTTGGGGGAAGCATGAAATTTAGGGATTGGCAAACTAGCAGTCTGGAAATGAGTTGGCATCATCGGTAGAAACACTGTTATTGGATGATTGGTTAGCTTGTGCTCAGAGGAGTATGTCTGTCTGCTGCTGATTGGCCAACGTTCAGAAGCGAGGGGCTGGCAAACTGAAGTCAGTCCAGCGGCGAGGCAGTAGCCGTGTAAAGGAAACCAGACCATGGCAACAGCCACACCGACTTTGGGGACGACTCGTACAGAGCTCTTCAGTCTGGCAGACAAGATAGATGCTGTCAGTCAGAGTGTATGAGGTGAGCTCCTGTATGGCACTGGTTCTCAAAGTGTAGCTCCTGGACCAGCAGCAGCAGCAGACCGCTCCGCCTGGGAGCTGGGGGGGCGGGAAAGGCTAGGCTTCCTACTCTGGAGAAGAATTACCCTGTGAGGGGGGTGGGGGGAACACTAGGAGTCGAAATCAACTCACTGGTAGTGAGTGCGGACCCCTGCCCGGACCTTCACCATCAGAAGCTCTGGTCTTAATGTCAACCAATCTGCATTTGGACAAGCCCTCCGGGTAATTCTTTAGCTCTTGGGGACCACTGCTCTATAAATTTACTTAAGGTAAAGAATTAAACAGCCTAAACATGCCTGAATTAATTTTCCCCCTATTTTTCCTTAAGAACTATTTAACTTACATGACCAAATTTACTTACCAACAACGTGTTTTGTTTTTTATTTTATTTTTTATTTTTAAATCATTTTATTGGGTCTCATACAACTCTTATCACAATCCATACATATATCAATTGTGCACAGCAGACTTATACATTCGTTGCCCTCATCATTCTCAAAATTCGCTTTCCGCTTGGGTTCCTGGAATCTGCTCCTCGTTTTCCTTTTTCCCTTAAGGGGTACCCCTCCCTCCCCGCTCCCCACTCCCTCATGAACCCTTAATAATTTACAAATTATTATTTTATCTTACCTTACACTGCCCGCCGTCTCCCTTCACCCACTTTTCTGTTGCCCATGCCCCAGGGAGGAGGTTATATGTAGATCCTTGTGATCGGTTCCCCCTTTCTACCCCCCTTCCCTCCCAGTATCACCACTCTCACCGCTGGTCCTGGGGGAGTTCATCTGTCCTGGATTCCATGTGTTATGTTTTGTTTTTTAAATTTTGGTAGTGTTGGTGGTCGTCTTCATGACTATAAAACCATTTGGCTTAAAAATGATTCCTGTACTCTTGCATAAATTATTTTGTTATTTTTTATGAACCATTTTAATTATGAAGCAATTTTTAAAAAATCATTTTATTGGGGACTCGTACAACTGTTATTACAATCCATACATCCATCCATTGTGTAAACCACATTGAAACAAATAATTTTGAAATATCTTACATATGTGAGTTAGTTAATTGTGCCAGCCTGGCCGATAATCACATGTGGTGCTGGTTGAAAGGCAGAGGGATAAATGGGTGGTGAAGCCTCGCCTTTCTAGTTCTCGGGTCTCTTGTTTTGTGATGGTTGCATCGGGTGCAGCTGCCTTAGCAGTTCCCTGCTTCAGCTTGCAAGATGGATTTCCTACAAGACATCCCCAAGGAGAAGCCGCATGGATCTATCCCGATGCAACCCTGGGTGCTGGAGCAACCGTGTGGAGACCCTTGCCAGTGCTGAGATGCTTACACATTCACGGACTCAGCTTTCCTCCTGCAGTCGGCATCATTGCCTCTGTTTTGTGAGGTGGAGGACTTTGTGGACTGGTGTTGGGTTAATGGGTTAATGTTGGACTTGTGGGCTTGGGCAGCATTGGGTTGGGATGTTTTCGTGATGCACATTTTCTTTGCATAAAACTCTCTCTTATACGTGAGTTGCTGTGGATTTGTTTCTCCAAAGTACCTAGACTAATACAATATGAAACATTATAAGTTAATTTGTTTTATGAAACATATTTTACACTAGTTTGAGAAATTGAAAAAGTTCCTGGGGACACAGTATACACTTAAAATATTTTCCCAGCACACTGGTTTCAGCTCATCAGAGGCCAGACTTTGTCCCAGTAGACAGTTATCAAGTGACAAGCAAGCAAGGAAGCCTGCCTCATCCTCAGGCCAGAAAGAGAAGCAGGCACGGCTTCCAGAACCATCGACCTCCCCTCCCCTCTCCTCCTCTCCCTGAGGAGCTTCTAAGCTGCTGCTTCTGACACCCAATTGGAGCATTATCAGTATACAGATAGTCTTCAGTGAAGGATGAGGGCTGTGAGGGAAAGGACAGTCAAATTAGAGAAACTGAGCCTGTGGTCAGGTGGAAGTGGAACCACCTGACGGAAGAACGTTAGCCCATTGGGAAGTGTTTGAGCAACACTAGCTAGGATACACACCAGCTAGGTGCTGTTTACTGAAGCAGAATGAAGCTGCTGGGAGGTTTGCCATATTCACATAAGTCTTCCTGGCTCTTGGCAAAATTCCCTGATCTGAATGTAAAGGAGAAGCCTTCTCCATTGCCTTGAAAAGAAAAATGGAAAAATGCTAAAGCAGTAAATCCTTTAATTTTAAGTGAAACCATTTAGAAAGGTTTCACTGTAGGCTATACCATAGTGAACTAGTGAGAAAGTGAAAACAGATGGGACAAGAGATTTGTTAAACATGTGCAAGCAGCAAATATTCGTGTCCTGGGTATGTGAAGAGCACCTGTGTATCAATAAGAAAGACAACTCAATGTAAAAGTGGGCAATAGACTGTTCTTTAAGTATCACTATTGCCTAATGAACATAGGAAGGGATGTACAAACCTCATCAGAATTTCAGCAAAATGTAAATTAAAACCACAGTGAAATATAGCAAAACCTGGAAAGTCCTTGATGGAAATTTTTTCACTTTAGCATTTTTCCTTCTAAAACTGAGCCATTCTAAATTCTATGAAGTAGCTGGTTTGATGGATTTGGATTTTTACTTTAGTTTCTTTTTTGTCAACAAAAGACAATGATCCATAAATAGTAATAAAGTGTGGTAAATGATGGCTGATTATATGATTCGTGGAAATAACATTTTATCTAATCAAACAGTGGACCTAAGGGTGAAACTAAGTCCACCTTAGGGTGGCACTGATGTAATTTAAAAAAATTCATTGTTACTTTTTTTCTTCCCCAACAGCATCACTTATACGGAATATAGCAAAAGTGAAGTGACTTTCTACATCGCCAGTGATGGCACTGCCATTCCGGAAGGATTTGGAAAAGTACAAGGACCTGGATGAGGACGAGCTCCTGGGCAACCTGTCTGAGGTTGAACTGAAGCAACTGGAAACGGTTCTCGATGATCTTGACCCCGAGGTAGGCACTTAATAACAAAGAGAACCCAAAGAACTTTCTACAGCCTTCGAAACAAAGTAGCATTTTTCTCAGAACTTTGCCCCGGCACCACCCACTCACATCGGCTCAAGTGAACTTGCTTCTTTGCTTCCTCTCCAGCCGGCCCACCTCTTCCTCGACAAGGCTATTCTAATCTATCTTCTCCAGCATCCTCATTTTCAAACGGCTCCTGAAATTTTCCGTCCTCTAAGAAACTTGTCTCTTTAAGAAACTTGCTGAGAAACATGTTTGTGATAGCATGCAGGAAGTAATTGGCTGTTTTATACATGCCAACCTCTGTGCTTCTTCAGAGCGTCTATTAAGTGCCTACGGAGTGTCCTTCATGGCTTTAGACCTACTCCTTACCTTTCTGATAGATACGTACCAAACTGAACGCTTTCCTGGTCATAGCAGGTTTTCGACAATACTGCTGCCTGCTGTGGTGCAGCCTTGAATGTATGTTTTGATATCGAGAAAGTGAATTTTGTTTGTTATACAAGGTCGAGAGAGAGAGGCTTAATGGTTATGATTGCTTAACCTAAAGGCAGTGGTAACCTGCTAGGCTCCTTTTCTTGACCACATTTCTTTATGCTGGGACTTGGGTTTTTAGTGTCTTAAGGAGCCTCGGTGGTGCTGTGGATTAATCAGTGGGGTACTAACCACATTAGTTCACCACATTGGCAGTTCAAATTCACTGCTCTGAGGGAGGAAAATGATGCTGTTTGCTCCCAGGTAGTTTCTGAACCTCAGTATAAAGTCGCTGAGTTAGAATTGACTTAGTGGCAGTAGATTTTCAGTCGATCCATAAATTTATTATTTATAAGAATTTGTATTATAAAACTGTTTGCTACACATTTATATTTTGCGTGCAGGCATTCGTGCATGAGAGAGAGAGAGAGAGAACGAGAGAACAGTTACGCTCCTGAGCATTACTTTAGCACCTGGCTGCTGTGCCTGTACCTCAGATCAAATTCCTTTTGCATGGCTGCCATCATGAGGACAGGTTCTCAGTATCACAAGACACCCAGGTCTGGAGGATAACTGGGGTGTGTGGGATCATGCTGCAGCAGTCGCTTCTACAAGCCATTCGGCCTGCAACCCTGCTAGAATCAGATGGTTTTTGATTTGGACGGAACTTGAGTTCATCTTGTTGAGTGTTTTCAGATTCTATACTGTCAGCACTTTAGGCAGATACTTCTGCTGTGAAGCGCAGTCCTGTGCGTTGTAAGACATTTAGCACCGCCCCTGGGCTGTATGTCCCACACACCAGTGGCACACCTCTAGCTGTGATAAGCAGGTGTTCCCTAGGGGACAGCCCCTCTGGTTAAGAGCCACTCATTTAGTCCCTTTTTTCTGTCTCACAGATGAGAAACGAATTAGGTGACTTGCCTTAGTTACTACAATTAGGGAAAGTACCAAGACTAGATAGTGACCTTTCTATTAAAGGACCATGAGTCTTTCACTGACTCTTGTGCGGTATGAATATTACAGATGATGCCTGTATTCTCTTGTTTGCAAGTCCCCATTGGGGATGGGACTACATCGCATGTACTTGGGACATGCTAGCAGGAGGGACCAGTCCCTGCAGAAGGTGCTCAGGCCCTGGCCAGTGAAAGAGAAGCAGGGCCGTCGGTGAGATGAACTGGCCTCATGGCTCAGTCTCCATTCAGTGTGTTTCTTCAGTGTGTTTCCTCAGAGCAGCAGTCCCCAAAAGACAGCTGAGGCAAATTCTGTGTTTTCATTTCCACAACTAGGGCTATATTATTAAAACAATTCGACTGCATAGAAGGAATTTGTAATTATTAGTGGCAGCCATTTTAATGAGATTTTTATCTTTATGTTACATCATTATGATTCACTAGGTCACTTGAGAATAAGCTTTTAGTGAAGCTTGATTCATGGATTTATAACTCTAAAACCTGTCAACTTACTTATTTCCTGGTCAAAGACTGTATTTAAACACATCACTTTTAAAGCTGTGTGCCTCCCTTGGGTTGCCAAGGTCAGATGGAATAGTGCACCTCTCTCACCACTACCGGAGCCCTGATGGTAAAGTGGGTTTTCATATCAAGCTACTAACTGCAAGGTCAGCAGTTCAAACCCACCGCAGGAGAAATACGGGACTTCTTGTTCCTGTAAAGATTTACAAACTCAGAAACCCAAAGGGGCAATTCTTCTCTATCCGTCAGAGCCAACTCAGTGGATTTGGTCTATCTTCACTTCCAGAAAATAGCAGTACAGCCAAGCCACACTGATAGCGAAGGAAAGTAAATGTTAGCAATTTGCCTTGGTGAGCATATTTCTTGAAACATATCCTGAAATCTTTACTCACATATTTGGAGAGCGCCTATATGCTATCCAACGTTTAGGGATACAACAGTGAGCAAAAGGAGCATGGTTGTTGAGGAGCGAAGTCAAAGAGCGAGCAGTAAAGAAGGAGGGGCGAGCAGTCCAGGAACGGTGAGCCGTGTGCAGAAAGACCATGTAGAGAAGGCGCTGTATGGCGAGGACTAGAGGGCTGTTGTGCTCTAAGTGCAGAGGGTGGGGCAGTGTGCTGGGAGATGAGGCTAGCGCAGCGGTCCTCAACCTGCGGGTCACAACCCCTTTGGGGGTCGAACCACCTTTTCACAGGGGTCACCTGATTCATAACAGCAGCAAAATGCCAGTGATGAAGTAGCAACGAAAATAATTTTATGGTTGGGGCGTCACCACCACATGAGGAGCTGTGTAAAAGGGTCACGGTATTAGGAAGGTTGAGAACTGCTGGGCTAGACTAAGCTTGTTGGGAGTAGTAGTGATGGGGGTGGGGTTGGGAGGCTAACGTCATAGCTCAGTTGGACTTTATCAGAGCTTTGGGGCCGAAGTGGTGACAATTGAGAGGAAGAAAAGCTAAGCAGATCAATGAAGGTTTTTGGGTTTTGCATTTTATGACGTGAAAATGGATCAGACTTGATTGGGGATGGAGTCTTTCCATGTAGTTCTTTTCTCTGTTTCAAAATTTGAAGGCAGACATCTTGTTTCTTTTCTATATTCCTCTAGACCATTGGTTCTGAACCTTCCTCATGCCGCGACCCTTTCAGACAGTTCATGTGGTGGTGACCCCCAACCATAAAATTGTTTTCATTGCTACTTCATAACTGTAATTTTGCTACTGCTATGAATTGGGTGACCCCGGTGAAAGGGTGGTTCGACCCCCAAGGGGGTCGTGACCCACAGGTTGAGAACAGCTGCTCTAGACAGTTTTGTGTTACAAAATTCTCTGTGCGGGTTTCGCTATGGGCTTTATTTTGTCTTCAAAGGTGGGCCTTTACAAGAAGCACCATTTTTAGTTAAATGAGTGCACAGAGGTAAACCTAGGAAAGCTATTCCTAGATCTTGGCAAATCATCAAGTTGAAGAGCTCTATTTCCTAGTTACAAAATGGTTATTTTCAAAGTAAACTGAGTATTTCCTGTTATCAGTGTCCGTACGAGATCCCCTCTTATTAATGAAAAATTACCGACTGTCTTCTGCCACCATGAAGTTCAACATTACCGCCAACATTGAGAGGGTTGCGTAAGAGGGTTAGCCCTTTTGTGTGACTGCTGCTGGCTGCCTCCTGTTTTCAAAGCAAGCGAATACTCAGGACTACTGGGGAAAGGCAGTTTTTGGTCTTTGGTCATTTGTGGTGGTAATTCATTTTACTTTATAGGAATTAATACCAAACTAGTACCGAACATTGAAAAATGTTCCAAAAGTCTGACTCTTGCAAGATGATACATGATAGTCAGCTCCACCTTTCCCCAACTCCTCCCTTGAGTATATGTCTCACCTTTCCTGATTCTGTAAACCGCTGCGGTATCCCATAGACATCACTAAAGTTCGAGGAAATGCCCCAGATGTGGTGGTGGGATCAGTTCCGTCTGTCGTCCGAAGTCAGGCAGGGGTAAGCCAGATGCTGGGGCCAGTGGATGTACTCCACTCCTGGCTCTTTCCGATGATGAGCTCACACCCCGTGCTTCTCAGTGGACTCATCTTATATGAAGCAGGATGGCATTGCAGGGAATCTTGTTCACACTGACTTCCAGGTGAATCCTATCAGTATCTTGCCTGACCTTCTTACCAGGGAAAGGTCATTTGGTGAGAGTAACATGGTGCAGGGAAAGGTCATTTGGTGAGAGTAACGTGGTGCAGGGAAAGGTCATTTGGTGAGAGTAACATGGTGCAATCAGATTTCACCCAAATGCCATCTGTGTTTTACCCCTGGACTGTATCTCATTTCTACACACACGACCTGGGGCCTTTGGCACAATGTTTCCAGTAGGATTGGCCTCTTACGAATTAGCCAGGTTTCCCCATGCCACTGCAGAAGCAGCTTCTTTCTCCTTCAGTTGTAGCATAGAATTTCTTAATCCATTGTAAATAATATTAACTAAGATACATGGAACAAAGAGTGTGGTCTGATTCCCACCCTCTACTAAAGTCAGAACTCTGCCTCATCCCGTTCCTGTTTATTAGCAGAGAATGCCCTCCACAATGGGACCACAGCCAAAGGTAGATGACCTCCAGAATTTACCTCTTGCTCCTCCTGGACTTTGTGAAAATTCAGAGTAGGGCCTACAGTAGACAACTTAAATTCAGCAAACCTCATCCCCTCTTCCCATTTGCAGTCCATCCCTGCCCTCAAAAAACTGGGTGCCCCCATGAAAACCCAGGGACAGGGCTCTTGCTCTAAATATCTTCGAGTGTCCTGGTCCATAGTAGCTCATTGACAGCGATCGCTGCTGTGTGTATGTGTACAGCCACATGCCTGTAAAAGTTGAATCTTATTACACTACGTCCAAGCATAAATAAGTAAAAATCTCCGTTACCCCATGTATAGTATACATGTTATTTTTATGAGAAAGCCTTTAGAATGAAATATAATTTTAGTCATTTGTTTCAATGTGTATATTTCTTTAAAAGTATATGAAAGGAATATGATGTATCTAGTTATCTAACATTCTATGGTCATAAAATGATTCTGTTTATATGCGTCTGTGCCAGGCAGTTTATTAAAGGTTTTTTAAAAACTATATTTTAATTACCATCTGTGTTAGACAGGGTTCGCTAGAGAGATAAAACCAAATTCCTGATAATATAATATATTTATTTATAAAGATAATTAGATATATAACGAGAAATGAACTGTTAAATCATATACAGATAAATATACAATACAAGAAATAAACAGTTAAATTAGAAAGCACTACAAATGGCTCAGTGCAACTCACGTCCCTGAGAGAAAGTTGAGAGACTAGCAGTCCTTCAAGTCTCTATCTGATGCTAGATCTTCCTCTATTTGTAGAGAGAGCTAGGTTATGTCAGCACAGCAGCCAATCACAAGGCAGGTCACCAATCGCCAGTCCCCAGCTCCAGAGAAGTCTTAAAGGGACCTCAACTTACAGCAACACAGTCCACAGGCTAGGCGTCCCACAGGCTCTGTAGCCTTTAAATTAAAGCACAGAACAAGCAAGGCAGCCGCACACTGGTCCGATGATCACAGAGCGAGAGACAAGAAAGGCAAGGCTCACCAAGCCATCCATCTCTCCGCCCCTCAGTCAATCCCTCCTGCGTTTATCAGCCAGGCTGGCACAATAAACTATCTCACCATCTCAGAAAATGCAAAGACTAAAGGTTGTTTCATAATAATAGAGCGCTTTCTAAAGAAAGTGTTTTAATAGCATGTTTTCTAAAGAAAGTGTTTGCGTGCTGCTTTTAATAATAATTTAAGCAAGTTCGGCCTAATCAAGAAAGTCATCTGTGATTTAGAGCAGATTTACATTGCTTCCTGAAAATCCTATAATGAAGTGTTTCATGGCTGTACATTCTAGCCTGGCATTCTTTTGTGATTCTCTTTCTGTAATTGTTGGTGAACAGAGGTGCTTGGTGTCCTTGGTGGTCGCCGTGACTGATTGGTTCTCTCTGGCAGAATGCCCTTCTGCCCGCAGGGTTCCGGCAGAAGAACCAGACGGCAAAGCCAACCACGGGGCCCTTTGACCGGGAGCACCTCCTGTCCTACCTGGAGAAGGAAGCATTGGAGACCAAGGACAGGGAAGACTATGTGCCTTACACTGGAGAAAAAAAAGGTAAGCAGAGCATTTTGAAGTCATGATTTGAGATCAAGTTCTCGTTTTGTTTTTGATAGGGAAGTCTAGAGAAAAGGTTTTTAAAGATACACCCATGATAGTCTTAGAGATGCTTACTGTTGATGTAAACATTGGCTAGATAGTTTAGACACGTCACTTACATGTTCCCTCAAGTTGGCCAGTAATGGTTTCTAGTCCATTCTATTATATTATACCCTAGGCCCCCAAACTTACTTGACTTCCCACCCCTTTTTCAGAGAGAGAGATAAATCCCAAACAACTCAATGCACCCACATCAAGTTATAAAACTTTGGTGATATAACCTACATGCAGGCTAAAGTGTAGGTATCTGCTTTTGCAGCCTCCCCTGAAACAGTCCCGCGCCCCACAGTGGGCAGTATTGCCCACTCTGTGAAACATTGCATTACACAGTAGTTTTGTTGAACACCCTGCAGTCCTCTAACAACTCTAAAACTGTGTATAGGTAAAATATTTAATTCTCTGCTACAGAACGCAAATGGTACCGAAGTACTACTTACTCCATTCCAGCCCCTGTCTTTACAGTGGACTAGCACAAACCAGCTCAAGCCAAGTTGTGGAAACCTTTTTTAAAAGAATAGCCTACAGCCATCCTTAGTAATTAACAGTTATAATCACTCACACTTCCTACTCATTCAGCTCAGGAAATGTTTCTAGGCCAGGTCCCTCCCATTGCAGTGTTTGGTCTTACCTCTCCTCCCAAGAGATTGACTGCACCTGTGTTTATTAAAATCTTACAGTAACACTCTGCATGGAATAAGTTACCTTTCTTGGGGTTAACAAGAAAATTACTATTAACTCAGACTTCTGTGGTGGTAACTCTTGTCTGACTTTTAGGTCTAGTCAGAAATCAGTGATGACAAGCATGTAACTGAACTGTTGGGCTGCTGACCAGAGAGTGGCCATCCCTGACTACAGAGCACCTAGGAGCCCTGGGGGAGAGGTGGTTATGCATGAGGCTGTGGTCCACAGGGTCAGCAGTCTGAACAGAGTAGCAGCAACTCCGGAGAAAGACTGGGCTTTCTAGTCCCATCAACAGTTAAGAGTCCCAGAAGCCCACTGGGGGTCCTGTGAGTCACCATTGGCTCAAAGGCAGCGAGCTAGAGTTATGGAGTACTGGGGGCAGCCAGGACAGTCCTGAACATCAGCCCTGCCACATGCTATCTGGCACCTGACTCCTTAGTAGCCCAGGCAGGAGCAGACTAGGGCATTGTACTCTCCTCATGAGGCTTTGGGGTTTTATTTGGAAAGGAAAGCCTCCTAAAGCAGTTTAGTTTAGTTTATCTTTTAAAATTTTTTTAACTTTTTTAATCATTTCTTTTTAAAATCATTTTATTGGGGGCTCATACAACTCCTATCACAATCCATCCATCCATCCATTGTGTCAAGTACATTTGTTGCCATCATCATTCTCAAAACATTTTCTTTCTACTTGAAACCTTGGCATCAGCTCCTCATTATTTCCCCTCCCTCCACACCCCTCCCCCCCTATTTTAGTTTATCTTACTGGACACTTTTGTCACGTGGTTAGACTCATAGCTGCAAGGGAAGGTGGAAAATTCAAGGGTCTGTAGTAGAGGCATTTGAATATATTATGCACACGGGTGACATCAGTCTTTACAAAAATTCTGTTACCCCTTGCCCCTCCACTCTCTTTGGTCCCCGCCACTCTCTCATGTCATTTGAGAATCACACCTTAGCTGCTGTTACAATGCCCCTCAGGTGTTTGTGTTAAAAAGGGCTAAAACTGTACCGAGTGGAGAGTCACAAAGATCGGCAAAAGCTTCAGAGCTTTTGTATTTGTCATAAGAAAAAGGTTACCAGTTATATTTTGATCTGTATAATGCACAGCCATCGAGTTGATTGCAACTCATAGTAGCTTATATGGGACAGAATAGAACTGTTCTTGGGGTTTCCTAGGCTGCAAATCTTAACAGGAGTCAAAAGCTTCATCTTCTTCCCATAAAACAGCTGGTGGTTTGAACTACTGGCTGACTGTAGAATCGGCAGCCCAGCAAGTAACCACGCACCACCATGGCTCCTTCTAGGTCATCTTCGCCATCCATACGCAAAACACAGTGTTATAGCTTTACTCCTTTTTGATACAGAAAGAACACCCTTTCCTCATAACAAATCTTGACTGACCTCCACTTACTATGTATGTTTCAGGTAGACTCTAGGGATAATTAAGAAGAATAAAAGTAGAGAAAAGAAAGGAAACTATATGGCAGAGAGACCATGGAATCTGAGGATAAAGGAAGAGAATATAAGAGATAAGAATGAAAGCAGCATTTGCCCTATACTTGACCCAGGAAAATAAGAAAATATGGAACGGAGGACATGATAGAGGCAAACAACAAGGAAATTTCTTAAAAAGTATCAATAAGTAAAAAATGTATCTCAGCTATAGTGTAATAGTGTTGGTTTCCTTATGTATCTTCTCAAAATTGTGAAATTGCCTGCTTTAGGTTTTAGATGTTTAAAAAAGAATGAAAAAAAAATAATTTGGTTCCTTGGTTTGGGGTCAGGGTTTCATGAAAGATCCCAATTAATTGACATAATATCATGTTTAGTGCTTCTGTTCTACCCCCTAATCCACTGAGTAGTTGCTCAGGTCTAAGAAGCTTGCAAATGGTCATCTAAAGGATCAGGCTGGTCTCTATCCAGGAGCAGTAGAGGAAGGAGGGCAGACAGGTACAGGAGAGACATGGAATGGGTGGCTAATTGCCTCCACCCACAACTACTTCCCCTGCCTGGAGTCCAGAGGAACTGCTGCGTGGTGCCTGGCTACACCTGGCACTATCACAGAATGTTTGAATCAAAAATTTCACTGAAGAATCCTAAAAGGGAGTAAAATACAGAAAAAGATTTCAAATACTAGTGGACTTACAACTTTCTGGAGCCATGGAACTGGGTGAACCTTTGCAGATTATATCCCATAACTATTGCCTGAGCTCTTCTTTACACCTTAAACCACATAGATCCCCTGGAGTTTCCTTTAAACCAAAGCATAGTTTTGCATAACAAATGCAGAGTGTCTTATCTTGTAAGGCCTGTTGGGATCAAATTAACAACAGCAGCTCAACAAAATCAGAGCCTTTGTTTAGTGTAGGACAAAGTCTCCCCCAAACACATCTGAGACATGACACCTGTGACGTCCCTTAATTAGAATGAACTCCTCCTCCCCGATGCTGACATGTCCTCTCCGTTTGGCATAAGGTATAATGATGGACAATCACTTTACAAATCATGAAACATAGTTGATAACTTATGTATTAGTAATTAGTGTCCTCGGTCTGATCTTAAAACACTGTACGATGACGTAGAAAGATAAATGTTGACACAGCCTTTTCTTAGTCAGTAGTTGAAATCCTGACATGTACAGTGTCCAGTTTTATTGGGTTTGCCTGTACCTTGGCCACTTGCGTAATTTTACCTCCAGAAATAAGGTGTGCCTTTAAGTGAAAGGATAACGAGTATAATGAATTGTCACTCAGTGTCTGTTTGAGAAAGTATAAGATTGAGTCATCCTTTTAATAATCTGTTTATTTTTTTGCTTTTAACCAAATTGGACATCTAAGAAATTCTAAATAATAATGATTCCCTGGAGTCACCTTTCTGTTCGATAACAGTCTAGCTTTTAAAATAAAGAACACTACCCGTGAGTACTGGATCACCTTTAAGAAGGCATCGGGACAAGCCCAACCAGGCAGCGTTTTCTCTAAAGCCAAGATGACATGGCAAGCAGTCGGGGAAACTAGGTTTCATTTTACTTCTCTGGTCCACTTGGGCTGCGTAGATGCCATCACATGTACCATTAGCCTCCTAAGAAGTCGTGTTTTTCATAGTAAGATGACCAGTCTTCAGCTCTAGTACCTAATGACCATGTTAGCTTCCAGGGCCCGGGAATATTATAATCATGTCACTTTTCCGAGTTATATGCCAAAATCA